TTACACGAAATAGGGTGAATACATCTCATTACACTGATTTACTGGTAGTCTCGAAACCCTACTTACTCACAATATAATGTACTAGGCGTAGTCGAAGCCTAGGTCCAGACTTGGCGAGTCTTGCTAAATGGTTTTGAAGTAGGGTTTAGAGACTACCAGTGGATCTTGAATAAGGATGGTATTCACCCTATTTTGTGGAAGGTGACAATTTGTTCCCACATAAAAATGACTCGGCCTCACGTTTCCATCGGAGTTCACATAGCCTTGCTTCCCAAAAGGTATTTTAATCGGGGATGGACTGCTTTTAAGACACCGCCTAGGCCTGATTTGACTGCCAGCGGGACACGAACCCCGATTTTGGTAGTACAGCAGAGAGTCTCGACACGTCACAGGCAATTTCTGGACGAGGGGCTCTGCCACCCAATCCAATCTCTCCTGGCCTGTTTGTCACATAACTCGTATGCCAGACGCAAGACCTGTGTGTAAAAAATTACAATTGATCATCGGTTCCGAAACGGTACCGTATCGAGTTGTTTCTCACTGGACTTAGCACAATAAAACGCAGAAAATGAGTGCTTATTTCTAGAAACTATCGAATGCCAAATGGTGGAAAAGTGTTTTAGGCGAAATATTTTAATACGAGAAATATAACCAACTACTATTGGAAAAATCAGTAGCCTGTAAAACGTAATGGCAAATATGAGGTTGCTGTTTCGCAAAAGAATTCATATAGAATAATGTAAATAGGAGAGTACTTTTTTAGCTTGCCGTCACGCTTATCGCTTAATAGAATGAGTCCAAGGCCGTGTGGCTTAGAGGTAAAGTTGTTTTTTTCGATATTTTGAGAGCAAAGGCCTGGCCTACCTTGAAATTCACATTTTCACTGTGACCCAAGTGCACACGTGGCAATGCGGTGGAATGGTTAACACGTCGATGTTACACGTTGCACTATCTTTCTTCGAGTCCCGCTGGGGGCCAGTTCAGGAAAGGTGGAAACTGGAATCCACTCCAGTTGGAATGAGAATAATTTGTGGAAGGGTAAGGCTATGTGAAAATTAATTGAAATATAATGTATATTCATATGATTGTAGGAAAATCCAACTTAATGAGCTGTGTTCACCTTAGATCGTTTGAGGTAATGAAGGACGGGTAGTCGAATTTTCCCACAATGATATGAGTAGAGCTGGCGTTTCCATTGAATTTTACATAGCCTTGGTTTCCAAAAAGCTGTTCTCATCCAAGATGGACTGCAGTTTCAACCTCGCATGGATGAGAGCAAGTTTCGGGAAAACAAGGCTATGTGAAATTTGATGGAAACGTAAGCTCTATTTATATGATTGTGGGGAAATGTAATTACCAGTCCTCTATCACCTTAAACGAAACAGGATGAAAACAATTAATATATTTGATTTATTGGTAGTCTCGAACACTTACTTACTTAAGGGAAAATGCAACTACCAGTCCATAATCACATTATACAAAATATCGGTTACACATCTAATACTCAGTTTTTATGTCTGTTCTGCTCATCCAAGAAGCCTCGGAGCTGTAAATAGCGGCTTTAAACCATGTCTTCGAGTCCTACCAGCGATGTAGGACCTATCGTCTCCTTCTCACCCCAGGGCAGCGGCAAAAGGGAATTGTGGCCGAATAACCGAAGAAAACGAGTTTTGTGGCCAGAATTGAGGGGATCTCGGAGCTGTCCACTTCAGTTGCAGTTAAAAAAGGTCAAACCAGCTTCTTGTCCGACAGATCTCGAAATCGCCATCATCTAGAATGTCATCAAAAACAGTTAAAATGTGAAATTATCCAACTTCTTAAAAGTCAATTTTCCTGCCTGAACGAGGCAGCCTACAAGTTGTTGGGTCAATTCTCGCTTCCTTCCACATGCTTGTGGATGTATGAAGTAGATACCTCAATTTTCTTGCTTAAATAACTAGTTTTGTGATCCTGTAGTCTTCGGCCCATCTACCCATGACAACTGGCACTCAAAGCCAAATGCGTTGATCCCATTGCTTTATGGGGACCTTGACTACCATTTGCCCATACTCCTCTTCAAATTAGTTCTTATCCTCTCTGCTCCTGTCGACCATGCCCTAATCTTCTCCTCTTTCCTCTCCTTCTCCCTGTCCCGCTTCACTGGCCAGACGTCGTGCTCACAGTCATGGACGGTCTGATGCCGTGCGCATCGCTTTGTCTGTCGCATAGAACCTCTCTTGGCCAGAAACGCCTCTCCACTGGCCAGTCCATGCGCGATGACCACTTGCCGTCCAGAGCAGAAGAGCCTGGAGCATTCAACGAGTAAGTTATCTCACAGTCTCGCTCTTGCCTAGAACTGTAGGAAGTCCTCAAAAGGGAGGAATCCGCCCAGATTTCGGAAAGTGTTGGTCCAGAGAATGTCAGTAATTCTTTGCCATTCGGACCAGTTTAAGTTCATCGAAGGACCGATAGTTATTTTCCCAGAATCACATGAATATACCTCACAATACAGCTTATCGCATCAGGGCTGAAATAGACTTCAATTTTGGCCTTGCCTCGCCATCTCTCATCAACACCTCAAGCGGGATTCGAACCAGAGTAGTTTGTATCATGGCAACCTCTACTACTCCATTGCATACTTTATGGCCAGTGGTGTTAGTGTTTTATAGAAAATATGCGTTATTCAAGGCGAGCCAACTCATATTTTTATGGTGAAATTCTCGATTATGCAAACATCTGTTTGTAATTGATTTCGACAAGGTTACTTATCCTTAATATAAGTAGTCTGCCAGACTATTCTTAATTTTTTAATAAGAACTAGGTTACCATACGTTGAGAGTCAAGTACAAATTAAATTTGATGACATCGGGAAGTCTACTTGTTTCATTGGTGGAAAAATGCATTTGGCGTCATCACAAGCAACCTAGGCTGATTAAGTTCTTATTCAGGTCCTCTTGGCGCCGGGTTTGCATAGTCTAAGCACGAAGTGATCCCATTTGTCTTGATGAGAAAGCCTTTTAAAGATGCAAGAAAATAAGATTTTGAGTTTCGAAGAATCTCTTGGTTTACACTTGTTGAGCTGAATTCCATTTCGAGTAAAAGTGTTTGGTTAAGAGATTCAAAGATTTATCCCACCAGATGACAAGGTCGGATGCCTCATCTTAAAGCTAACGAATCAAGGAAACCCACCTATTAATCGTTAAATGCTGTATTTATACCATATATCTAAGGTATTTGATGAGGTACGGAGTGATTTTGTTAGTGCAAATTATAAGTCAACCTCGAAGTATGGAAATGTGTCGATTTGTATGTGTTTTTATGCCTATATATCCTCGTATATGTACGAAACCAGAAGAAATATTTCAGAATAAGTGAGTCAAAACGTTGTTTTCTTGCCACTACGTACACATAGAGGCAAATGAAGGCACAAAAACATATACAGATAGACACACGGGCATGCTTAGAAGTTGGTATGTAACCTGAACTTAACAAATCACCTTTGAAATCAAAGAACCTATGAAGCATATCGCTTCTTCACTGAAATCGTAGAAGATTGCCTCGCAAACAGCATAAAAAGGAATGTTCCAATAAGGCCGCCAATCAAAAGCTGGTCAAGAGAAATAGGGAGTAAACTCAGCAAATAAAATGCGGATTTCTAATAATCTCCTGTAATAATATTGCTGTGAAGACTTTCATTTCGTATGGAAGTACATGATGAAATGATTCGTAAGTCAATCTCACCAGAAGAAGTTGGCTGATTCGAGTTGTGATTCCGCTGTTTCGCCTTAATACAACTACCACTGCTCGACTCTTGTCGGCTTTCATAACAATTAGATTATTACGAGATAAATATCTGGGCACCCTGCCCAGAAGGAAGGACTTATTTGGCGTAAATACCTGGTCAAATTGAGGAATCACCTCTAACTCGATACTATTCTTGACTAGTTCATGTAATCTATTTGATAGTCTAATTGGCCCGACCAGTATTTCCAGAGAATAGATTACTTCATTCGGTAGTGCAAAATTTACTCCTCTTTCTAGTAGAAGTTGCACATCATCCTCCAGCTCTGTACTGGATAAATTAATTATCTTATCTTTACACATTCAAAGCTGTTTTTGAATCTTAAATTGTTTGTTGGATAGATGCATGATTATTTTGCGATATGACAGCATGATAAAGATAGTTTGGATAGTTTCCTATTTTCACTTAACCAGCGCGAAAGAAATATTAACTTTGCAATGAAATTAGAAGAAAGTAGGAAATTATCTTTTTTTAAATGTTATAGTTGTTGGGGAAATGGCAAGTTAGGAAGGAATGTTTGTGGGAAACCAGCCGAGACCTGTTCTTATATCCTAATCTTGCCGTCATGTTTTCTTCCCTTAGAAGATGGGAGAACTAGTGAGGAATTTGGGGATAAAGACAATTTTCAAAAAAACTCTGACCCTTTCTTCTGTTGTACCTTCTTTTAGAGAGAAATATGATCCACTCTCAAGTAGAGCTGATGCTTCCATTGAATTTCACATAGACTTGCTTTACAAAGAGGCGTTCTAATCCAGGATGAACTGCCGTTTCAGCCTCACCTATTTCCTATCAACAACCTCAGTGGGACTCGAACCATACTAGTGCAGCATACAATTTAGACACGTTAAACACTACGCCGCATTATCGCGAATGTACTTTGGACACAGACAGATGTGAATTTCAAGGAAGACCAGGCCTTTTCGCATATCACATTCTTTAATGGAATTTTCGATAAAGTAAACTTATATTTGCTATATTAATCGACTATCTTACTTATTTTTCTTCTATAATCAGGCTTTCGAGATTACCAGTAAATCATTAATATATGAAATCTACTCCCCATATGTGATATGGGAAAATGCCTGGACTTCCTTAAAATTCACATCTGCCCCGTGACCAAAGGGCATTCGTGGTAATGTAGCACGTTTCACAATTATACGATGCACTGATATGGTTCGAGTCCCGCTGGAGATGTTGATACTAAATAGGGAAGGCCGAAACTTTAGTTCATCCTGAATTAGAACGCCTCTAGATACAGCAAGACTATGTGAAATTCAATGGAAGCGTCAGCTCTACTCATATGATAGTGGGAAAATTCAACTAGCTGTCCCGCATCACCTTAGCGAAATAGGTCGAATACATGTAATATAGTAGACAATTACAAATAAATTGTTTTATATAGTGCTATATTAGGTGAAAAATGAATCATGGAAAGAGACCAAAACTTTTAGACGGGTACTTATTAAGACTGTTAGTAATTCTTAAAAAAAACATTGTCATCCCAAGTCGTTTAAGTTGATCAGTAGATTAATTAAGTTCCTATACAAGAATGAGTACGAAACAGATCAAAATATCTGCAGTTGTCGATTACAGTGGAAAACACATATTTGATTAATTTACAGCCCCATTATAAAAAAGTAGTACCTAGAGGTTGTGCTCATCCTATTTCGTTTAATGTGATGAAGGACTGGTAATGACATTTCTATTAATCATATGAGAAAAGATGATGTTTTCATTGTGGTTCACAAAGCATTGCTTTCCCACCTGCCCACCTTTCCACCTTCTCACCTTCCCACCTTCCCACCTTCTAACCTTCCCACTTTCCCACCTTCCCGCCTTCCCACCTTCTCACCTTCCCACCTTCCCACA